TTCATGTCATCATTGTTAAAGTGCAACAGATTGAAATTGTAGTAGATGTTTTCGTAACATCAATCACCGATTCTGATCCGGTTAAGTTTATTCATTTACATTCAATTGCAATGATACAACAGATCTTATTAAGCCTAAAATATAATCCCAGTGGACCCCACAAGGAAGGCTCAGTGTGGTCAATTCCAGAGCTAAAAATATCTTGATAACCCTGTTTGTAACATTCAAACTGCTCACCTTTTTAAATGTTGGGGTAGTCTGAGCAGTCAAGGGAACTATCAACCTGTGAAACATCACAATTGCAAAGACAAATCAGCCAAACTGAAGGACAAGCCGACTCCGTTCCCTTGCCCTAAAACCGGGTACACTCATCAGGTAAACTCGAGGCCACATCTCTGCCCACTTTAAAGCCAGTTTACTGCATGCCCTTCAAACAGTAACATCACAATGGGGAATAAACCTACAGAAAAGTAGGTTTTTCATCTCACAGACAGGAGCCTAGTCCTAGCCCATTTTACGCATACCTCTTCTCAGGTGCTCTTCTTACATGGTATCACAGGCACTGCACAATCTCCACTCAGATACTATATATAGTGTGAACCTAAATTCCAAATGAGAACCCAGAGGACTGATCTCTTGCCACAGGGGCATTGAGCTCCTGGCTTGGGTCAGGAACAGACGGCCTTGGTGTTTGCATGCCAAGACTGAGCCACTTAGAACTGTCCTTCACGAAGACGTTCTTTAACTGGCAACACTATCCAGGCTAATGCTCCAATCACAGGTTCATCTAAATCAAGACCAGGCACCACACCCTAATAGGGATTTGTTTCTCTCTTAATCATATCACAAATCAACTTTTACCAGTTGAATGTAGACACAAATAAAATACTTTTGTATTACATTTTTTCTGTGTTTTATTTACAATAAAAATATGCAAATAAAGTCATATAATTAAATATGCTCATATCTGCATACGACAAAAACTATTCTGGACACTGGGTGAAGTCAGACTAAATATTTTTGTTTCATTTTGTTAAGACTCTCCAGGACCGGACTTGGCCAGAGCAGATTGTGGATGAATACTTTTTTCATCTTTCTATCTGTAAAATATTAAAAGGCATGTACATAAAATGCATTTTTGGCATATTTCTCAAAATAAAATGTTGTCTAGAATAAAAAAAGAATTGACAGCATATCAACAATTCTCTCTGGCCAAGTCTGGAGAATATAATAATATGCCATTTAGCAGATGCTTTTATCCAAAGCGACTTACAGTCATGTGTGCATACATTTTTACGTATGGGTGGTCCCGGGGATCAAAACCACTACCCTGACGTTACAAGCGCCATGCTCTACCAATTGAGCTACACTATATATACACACAAAAGTATGTGGACACCACATAGTGGATTCGGCTATTTCAGCCACACCTGTTGCAGACAGGCGTATAAAATCGAGCACACAGCCATGCAATCTCCATAGACAAACATTAGCAGTAGAATGGCCCGTACTGAAGAGCTCAGTGACTTTCAACGTGGCACCATCATAGGATGCCACCTTTCCAACAAGTCAGTGCTTCAAATTTCTGCCCTGCTAGAGCTGCCCTGGTCAACTGTAAGTGCTGTTATTGTGAAGTGGAAACGTCTAGGAGCAACAACTGCTCAGCCGTGAAGAGGTAGGCCACACAAGCTCACAGAACTGCCGAGTGCTGAAGCGCGTAAAAATCGTCTGTCCTCGGTTGCGACACTCACTACTGAATTCCAAACTGCCTCTGGAAGCAACTTCAGCACAATAACTGTTCGTCAGGAGCTTCATGAAATGGGTTTCCATGGGCGAGCAGCCGCACACAAGCCTAAAATCACCATGCGCAATCCCAAGCATCGGCTGGAGTGGTGTAAAGCTCGTCGCCATTGGACTCTGGAGCAGTGGAAACGCGTTCTCTGGAGTGATGAATCACGCTTTACCATCTGGCAGTCTGACGGACAAATCTGGGTTTGGGGGATGCCAGGAGAACGCTACCTGCCCCAATGTATAGTGCCAACTGTAAAGTTTGGTGGAGGAGGAATAATGGTCTAGGACTGTTTTTAATGGTTCGGGCTAGGCCCCGTAGTTCCAGTGAAGGGAAATCTTAACGCTAGAGCAGGGGTGGGCAACTCCTCGGGAGCCTGATTGGTGTCACACTTTTGCCCCATCCCTAGCAAACACAGCTGATTAAACTAATTGCATTCTAAACTGAAGATCAAGATTAGGTGATTATTGGAGTCAGGTGTGTTAGCTGGGGCAAAACTGGTGCCCACCCCTGGGCTAGAGCATACAATGACATTCTAGACGATTCTGTGCTTCCAACTTTGTGGCAACAGTTTGGGGAAGCCCCTTTCCTGTTTCAGCATGACAATGCCCCCGTGCACAAAGCAAGGTCCATACAGAAATGGTTTGTCGAGATCGGGGTGGAAGAACTTGACTGGCCTGCACAGAGCCCTGACCTCAACCCCATCCAACACCTTTGGGATGAATTGGAATGCCGACTGCGAGCCAGGCCTAATCGCCCAACATCAGTGCCCGACCTCACTAACGCTCGTGGCTGAAAGGAAGCATGTCCCCGCAGCACTGTTCCAACATCTAGTGGAAAGCCTTTCCAGAAGAGTGGAGGCTGTTATAGCAGCAAAGGGGGGACCAACCCCATATTAATGCCCATGATTTTGGAATGAGATGTTCGACAAGCAGGTATCCACATACTTTTGGTCATGTAGTGTATCTAAGGATAACCACACAACATTTGGTGACTGCAGATGCTTCTGAAGCTGAGATTATTATTTTTTGCCGTGTTGGAAGAGTTTGACTTTAGGGGAATGACAGTTAAAGACAAGTACACTGAATTAAGACTACCAAACGCCTATTTAGACCCAATCACCAACTCTTCAAAGTAAGTTACTAAATGTAGTCCAGTTTGTAACAATCTTTATGAAATGGGCTTTGAAATGTATGATGCATGTCCATTTTAGTGGTTAAAATTAATTTTAAAAGGTTGATGACAGTAGTATGATAAACTAAAGAAAACATAAATTTTCATCAAGTTTGAAATGGTTTACTTTTTGAAAATAATAATAAATGGACCAAAATAACAACAAATCTCAACATTGATGCAAAAACGTCATTTCAGCCTGTGGTGCCTGGCCTCAAGTTCCGATTAGTTCCTGTTCATATAAGAGAGCTCATTCAGTTCAGACTTTCTCTCAAAAGGGCCTTGTTGTTTTGCCAGGTGTCTCATTTGCTGTTTTTCAGTATCCGCTTTTTCCACACAAAATCATATTTTTCAATGACATCCACTATGTTATGAAACAAGAAAAAGCATGAAGAATCTGAAAAATCAATGTTTGATTCACCTAAAAAACGCAAAACTGCCACAAATTGTTTGGAAACAAACTGGTGTGACCAATCCTGAAAACAACCACAGCGACACGAAGGCCCTTGCTGAGGATTGAGACAGTACCAGTACTTTGGACATATAAGGGTTGTGTTTGACTGTCTGTTGATTCACTGAATGTGGGCAGTCAGGAAGAACTGGAAAGCAACCTAGCATGACACTGTCGAGAATAAATATGTCTTCCAGGGTGATTTTAACCCTTTGACAAAATTCCACCCCGTTTGAAGACACAGGAATTACCGGTGGGTGAAAGAAAATAAAAGGAAAAGAAAGCAGTGCCACGGCATTTCTTTCTTTAGGGTAGTTATGAACACTAATACACATATTAATAGCCAACCAGTTCTGTTATCATTCAGCATATAATCAGTGGTCTGCTGGTGGTTAGGGAACAAGGAGCGTAAGCTCTATGGAACAGAAGAGGGCATTCAAGGAGAACACTACATTATGTCCTGCCTGGATTGGCAGAACATGCTTTATTCTCTGTAGCAAACCTGCAGAGATCAAATTAAACTATAAAAGACCCGGATGCTGAAGAAAACTGAGTAAGTTAACTTGCACATTCAATGTCTTGTGCTCTGCAGTTGAAACTTTAATTGTTGTGCTTTGATTCCATAATAATGGAATTTTCTGCACAGTCCTAATCTGAATTTATTAACAGGACTCTACTCAATCACATATCAGAAGTTGTATTTTTCAAATGGTTACATAATCAGATGTAAATGCTATAATAGAATTGAAAAGGTTAAGTACAAATCAAATGATTTGCTGACATGCTGCCAATCCTCCAGTACACAAACCAACCAAATGATCATAAAAAAAAAAAATAGAATGCAATCACACAATTCAAGCAAACTACAATATATTAATATAGATCTGATGTCATACAGGAAAAAATACAAAAAACAGAACTCACTCAGCTATGTCGAGGCTCTCTCGATAACCCCCTCCAATAACTGTTCATGCACCCAATATCAGTATGATAAGTCAATATATATCAAAGACCAACATTTCTTGAAAATTTGTTTGACATGTTATGAACGATTCACCTAAGGGTAAAAAAAATAAATAAAAAAAGTTAAAACAAAAAGGCCCATTTGACAGAAACTGGACAAAGGTGTTTTTCTCTGGGAGTAAATTAATCTGAAGCCCTCAAAAATATATTGCTGGTACACAGAAACTCCCAGTATTGATCTTAACTCGACATCCTGATGTCCTTATCAGAGATGTAGCATGCCCTTAAACATGTCACTTCTGTCTCATTTTAACCACCACACAGGGGTGATATAAAAATTAACTCAACAGTAAAAATGAAATGCCCACCAAACCCTACTGCACTCTCCCTGACTCTCAAGCAAACAACACACACGCAGACCATCTCACCACACAGGCATTCACACTCAAACGGTCACTCTAGGAGAGAGGGAGATGGTAATAAAGGGAGCGTCCGGACAGGGGCTGTGACACTGCCACCCCACCCACCTTATCCTACCATGAACAAATGAAACCATTTTAGCTGGTATTATGACATGCCGCCATTGTTCCAAATTTGCACGTCAGAGACTTTTCTACTTAGTCCTCATAACTTCTGGATCTTCTCAGCCACCACGATAGGGTTCTCCTTGCGTATGCGGGCCGCGGCAGCACCTCGGTAGTCGTAAGGACAGTCATGTTTGTCCGAGTAGCGGTGAATGGCGCAGAACAGGTTACCACAGCGACAGTCGAAGCCTAGTGAGTGAGGAGATGGACAAAGTTAACAGCCAACCATATCGACGTCTCAAGAGTCTCCAAGGTCAGTTCCAACCAACTGGACCAAGACGAGAACCTGAGATGTGTAGTACTAGTGTGCCTACTTAGAGGGTGGTGAGCACAAGGCTCTTCCAAGAGAGGCCAACGCCACAGTAGAGCGCAAGCCAGCAGTACACTGTGAAATGCAGTGGACCGTGAAATGCACCACTAGCCTGCAGTATGTTGCTCTCTACATCAACAGCAATGTGATAGGTAGACTACCTACATACAACAAGCTGTAGCCTACGCTTAGAATAGGCAATATGAAATACACATACGCAAATATTGAAAAAACAAAAGAAACGGTTTTTTTTTTTTTTTATATATATATATATATACACATTTTTACATTTACATTTTAGTCATTTAGCAGACGCTCTTATCCAGAGCGACTTACAGTTAGTGAGTGCATACATTATTTTATTTTCATACTGGCCCCCCGTGGGAATCGAACCCACAACCCTGGCGTTGCAAACGCCATGTTCTACCAACTGAGCTACATCCCTGCCGGCCATTCCCTCCCCTACCCTGGACGACGCTGGGCCAATTGTGCACCACCCCATGGGTCTCCCGGTCGCGGCCGGCTACGACAGAGCCTGGATTCGAACCAGGATCTCTAGTGGCACAGCTAGCACTGCGATGCAGTGCCTTAGACCACTGCGCCACTCGGGAGCATGTGGCAGCCAATAAGGACCATGGTATTACATTTTAGTCATTTAGCAGACGCTCTTATCCAGAGTGACTTACAGTTAGTGAGTTATATTTATTTATTTTTCATGTTCAGTCTTTAGGTCTCTTGTGTGCTATTTTTGCACTGTGATAAATATGGTGTTCTGACGTTCAAATAGGCATGGAGATCAATCCTGTGTATTCAAATTAGATTGAATTTAGTTTAAAAAAGAATATATATACACATCCCATTGAGAGAGCATCAAATCAGAGCTGCCTAAGCGTAGTAACAAAGATAAATCAGTTATGTATGAAAAATACTAACTGCTAAGCCCTGTGTGCTTCTATTTCCCCACGGGTAAAGATGCTAGTCTGAATCTTAAACACCTAAAAACTCAAACTCAGAATCAAACTGCTTTGCACTCAAGCGCAATGCCTCATAAACCCTTCGAACTTGGCAGTAGCTAACATCAGCTCTCCCGATATGTGTGCGCCCGAAGGGCTGAAATACACTACAACATTTTTGCCAGTTCTACGGGCTCTACCCATCAGAGAACCTTGCATATGTAACGATTGAGTCAAGCCATATCGTAGTGAACTAGTAATCAGTAAAGTACATGCACCTCCGCAACAGTACGATTGGACAATGGGGCCCAAATCTGGCTATATTTGCTGGGCAGGTTTGTGTATGTGTAGTAAGGAAATCATCATGGCAACCGAGGAAGATGCTGTGTTCCTTTATGTGCATTGTTATCAGGGGTGTAGTGCAGCCAGTGCACAGCTGAGCGACTCTCCACCACTTCTCAGAATGGTGCTGGTTTAATCAAGTTTAGAAAGTTTAAATCATATGTCTCGATATATCTTTTAATGATTAATTAGTAATCTACATAACAAACCGAATATAATAGCATAACGTTAGGCTCTACCGTTAGACCAAAAACATCACGCAATTAGGCAACTTATGACATTTTATTATCATTGTGCTGAATGGTTGCATTATTTTTCGATCTGGTTAGAACTCAACAGCACGTGCCATTAGGCTTAAAGGTCCAATGCAGCAGTTTTTAATCTCAATATCAAATCATTTCTGGGTATACAATTAAGTGCCTTACTGTTATTGTTTTCAATTAAAATTGTCAAAAATAGCTTCTTAGCTAAGAGCAATTTCTCAAGCAAGTATTTTGCTAGGACTGTCTGGGAGTGTTTTGAGCGGGGAGGGGAAAACAGAAAATTAGCTGTTACTGGTAGAGAGGTTTGGAACTCTTTCTTTTTCTAATTTACCACATGGTGATGTCACCATGGAAGGCCAAAACTCTTCTCCCACCAAAACAGGCTGAAATTTCAGGCGGTCTTTTCAATCAGCTCTTACACTAAAATGGCATTATAACCATTTCACTTTCTTTTTTTCTTCTTCTTTTTTTACATTTTAGTCATTTAGCAGACGCTCTTATCCAGAGCGACTTACAGTTAGTGAGTGCATACATTTTCATACTGGCCCCCCGTGGGAAACGAACCCACAACCCTGGCGTTGCAAGCGCCATGCTCTACCAACTGAGCTACAGGGGACTATTTTCACAGCATTATTCCAACCTTAGTGTGGAAATATATATAAAACAAAAGAAAAATCAAGATTTTGGGCCTTTAATATGCTTCTTAACTCCCTCTACTCTAAAATTACTACTTAGCCTGCCCTACATCATTCAAGAAGAATAAGATCGAAATGCATATTCCCATGAAACTGATTGGGATCAAATGGTTGGCATGCAGATGCAGCATGGACGCTTCACCCGTATAACGTGAATAATTATCATTCAAGATCGACAGTGATTATGGCCTATAATTCTTTATAATTTGGTGTTTTATATTTTTTTTTAGATAGAAAATGTTAATTTGAGCCACTATGTGTAGGTATAGGCAATCGTTACATCTGGATGATGCATTGCATGCCATGTACAGTCGTGGTCAAAAGTTGAGAATGACACAAATACTAATTTTCAAAGTCTGCTGCCTCAGTTTTGATGATGGCACTTTGCATATACTCCAGAATGTTATGAAGAGTGATCAGATGAATTGCAATTAATTGCAAAGTCCCTCTTTGCCATGAAAATGAACTTAATCCCCAAAAAACATTTCCACTGCATTTCAGCCCTGCCACAAAAGGACCAGCTGCCATCATGTCAGTGATTCTCTCGTTAACACAGGTGAGAGTGTTGACGAGGACAAGGCTGGAGATCACTCTGTCATGCTGATTGAGTTAGAATAACAGACTGGAAGCTTTAAAAAGGAGGGTGGTGCTCATTGTTCTTCCTCTGTTAACCATGGTTAGCTGCAAGGAAACACATGCCGTCATCATTACTTTGCACAAAAAGGGCTTCACAGGCTTATTGCTGCTAGTAAGATTGCACCTAAATCAACCATTTATCGGATCATCAAGAACTTCAAGGAGAGAGGTTCAATTGTTGTGAAGAAGTCATCAGGGTGCCCAAGAAAGTCCAGCAAGCACCAGGACCATCTCCTAAAGTTGATTCAGCTGCGGGATCGGGACACCACCAATGCAGAGCTTGCTCAGGAACGGCAGCAGGCAGGTGTGAGTGCATCTGCACGCACAGTGAGGCGAAGACTTTTGGAGGATGGCCTGGTGTCAAGAAGGGTAGCAAAGAAGCCACTTCTCTCCAGGAAAAACATCAGGGACAGACTGATATTCTGCAAAAGGTACAGGGATTGGACTGCTGAGGACTGGGGTAAAGCCATTTTCTCTGATGAATCCCCTTTCCGATTGTTTGGGGCATCCGGAAAACACCTAAGCCAAGGGAGTGGGCTCACTCACAATTTTGCCTAAGAACACAGCCATGAATAAAGAATGGTACCAACACATCCTCCGAGAGCAACTTCTCCCAACCGTCCAAGAACAGTTTGGTGACGACCAATGCCTTTTCCAGCATGATGGAGCACCTTGCCATAAGGCAAAAGTGATAACTAAGTGGCTCGGGGAACAAAACATCGACATTTTGGGTCCATGGCCAGGAAACTCCCCAGACCTTAATCCCATTGAGAACTTGTGGTCAATCCTCAAGAGGCGGGTGGACAAACAAAAACCCACAAATTCTGACAAACTCCAACATTGATTATGCAAGAATGGGCTGCCATCAGTCAGGATGTGGCCAATAAGTTAATTGACAGCATGCCAGGGTGGATTGCAGAGGTCTTGAAAAAGAAAGGTCAACACTGCAAATATTGACTCTTTGCATAAACTTAATGTAATTGTCAATAAAAGCCTTTGACACTTATGGAATGCTTGTAATTATACTTCAGTATACCATAGTAACATCTGACAAAAATATCTCATAACACTGAAGCAGCGAACTTTGTGAAGACCAATACTTATGTCATTCTCAAAACTTTTGACCATGACTGTATATTCAAAAATTATATCATACAACAGGCTTAGGCTACCTTTCGGTACCAATTGATGATGTAATAATAATAATAATAATAATAATAATATAAAAAAAGAGCTCCGGTATGCCCCCCAAAAATGACACTACCGATTGTCATGCTCCGGAAAAGCGAAGACAAAAGCAAGAAAGAGGCAAATTTGGGCATGTGACTGGTTACAGAAAAGAGGCCAATATGGATTGTCGATTTTGCAGAAAGAGCTCGAGGTAAGAACAGGTTTAAATAAGACTTGTAACATAGCCCAGGAGACAGATTTCCATGCAAATATTCAAAAATGTGCATAGAAACAATGTGCATTTTCCCACCAGAGATGTATTTCCATCAAATTGACTTGTTGCAGATAAAAGGCTGTGTGTGATGACGTAGTGCACATAAAATCCCCTTTGCAGTTAAATTCCCGTGTACCGAATAAAAAAATACAAGTTAAATGGGTTTCCATCGCATTTAATTCTACTAATGCCTTATATAATAGAGAGTGTGCCCACTCTGGTCTTGGCACGTGCACTCTAGTTGAATCTGCGCGCTGTTGGCTAGAGCGTACGTATAGCCTACATGAGATTATTATGGACAAAAGAGCAAGATTTTTATTTGTCAAATGGCAGCCACGCATCGATGATCATGTCACCAGAATAAGACCCTCGATATTTATTGGAAAGGAGCATCAAGCTCATCACCTTGCACTTTCACCACTGTGTGAAGTTCATCATAAAATAAGTTATCTGTAGCCTCCTAATAAACGGCATGCTTTCCCGACGAGTCATAGTGGGGGACCACACAACATGTCATCACGTGACCCCACGTTTACTTCCATATGATGGTTATATCAATATTTGCTCATAAAAGCGTTTCCACCAAACATTACTCGCAGAATTTATTTTACCAACACAAAAAGATCTCACCTTGTCTAGCGTATTTGGTTTTGTTGACATTTGCAATGTTCACCGAACATTTTTCAGTTTCCATCAGGTCTGTCATAATTTTTTATCCGACATGTACTTTACTCACATAAAAAGGTTGGACGGAAACTGGTTAGAGAAAATGGTTAGAGATGAACTTGTAAGGTAGGTGAAGAGAATAATTTATTGTTCTGAGTAACTGATTGGCTGACGGAGGGACATGCCTCGCATCTGCTCTGAGCACTGCTCACACTTGGCGATAATGGCCGATTTGAGGCAGAATATATTCAACATGCCGAAAAAGTATTGGGACGCCGTAAGTGCCCAGGAGCCTATGACAGCAATCAACTGCAAATCAGCACTTACACTTTACGGGCTGCAGCGCTAAGTTTTACTCCAGGTTTGCTCCGATTTCCTCCAATTTGGGAAAATGCGCCAGGAGCCGATCGGGAGCCTGTAGATCAGGCTAAAAACGTGTAGTGTCCACCCAGCTTAAAACCCTCTTCAGTCTTACCCGTGAGGCCCACTTTCTTCCGGCAGGTGAAGCATCGGTTCTTCTTCTTATTTTTGTCAGGGGTCTGATCACCATCAGACGAGGGCTGGGCTCCCTCCCCCACTGGCTCTGTTAAAATATAACATCTGACTGAACTTTAAACATAGATACCCATATAGGACTGTTGCTGTTCACCCTCGGGTGGCTGTAGTGTAGTTATGTATTACAAGACAAGGCAGGAGGCATGCCATATAACGTTACTGATGATGTAGACATGGAAAACAGTTTGGAAACCAAGAAAGTATCAAGCTTTTTCTCCCCAGTTGTTCTAACCTGGGTTTTTGGATGTCCCCTCCTCCTCCTCCTCTTCCTCGTTCCAATCAGCCCGGTCTGAGTCAGTGGCTCCAGTATCCTGGGAGATACTCATGGCTGTCATCTGCTGGGTTACTGGGCTGGGACTATAGACACACACACACACACACACACACACACACACACACACACACATACACTCAGACCAATAATGAGGTGAACAACAAACCATAATCCAATATTCAGCCCAGGAGGAAGCCTAGGGAACTCCAAAACACAATGATAAACCAAAGCCTCTTGAGCAACAGCTTACTGTCAATTGAATGGATTCCATTGAGCAGTCTGTGTGTTTGTTTGCAGAGACAAGCTGATTCTCTGTCAGCATACCTGGATGTCCTTTCCTCGGCAGGAGTGACCCCTTCCGTGCTGGGTTCCGCCGTCGTGCGCTTCACCGACACACCAGCTGCTCCCGGGAACCCCACTGGCGATGACGTGACCGAGCCTTTCTCACCTGGGGGGCTGGAACGGCCCCCGCCCTGTTGTCTCTGCAAGTGTTCCTTGTAGCAGACCGAGCACATGCCGTTGCTGCGGGGATTACCATAAAAACCGCAGCCCATAGTGCAAAGCATTGGCACTTGCGTCTGATTGGTCTCCTGAGCCATGCTCTCTGACAAAGAGAGGGGGGGGGGGGGTGGGGGAGAGAGGATATTCCTGAAATGGGGTTGAAGAGTTAGTCAAACTAGTGGCCATTTGTTTACATGAACATTCCTAAAAAGGCTAAAAGTGCTTGGAGACCAGCATTCGAGCAGGAGAGCAGTTTTGAGTGGTTCTGCTAGGAGTAGGTGCGAATGATTGATAATTAGTTTAGATTATTAGAGATGATACTGACAGATATCTGTCTAGTACTGGTGATGAGTGATACATTTTGTTCGATACAATACAAATACCGTTTCTTGTTACTAGCAGGGAGGCTACCCAATCCAGAGGCTGTACTTATTCTGTTAAATTAGGTTTAGAATTTGGCACCCATAACGTACAGTAGGTTTCAAACCACAAAACCAACTTGTTCACTTCACTTGAATGGTCAGATATAATTGACAGTGGGAAAACAAGTAGCTACAGTGCATTCGGAAAGTATTCAGACCCCTTGCCTTTTTCCACTTTGTTACGTTACAGCCTTATTCTAAAATGGATTAAATAGTTTCCCCCCCTCATCAATCTACACACAATACACCATAATGACAAAGCAAAAACAGGTTTTTATACATTTTTGTAAATGTATAAAAAAATAGGAAATTTCACATTTACGTAAGTATTCAGACCCTTTACTCAGTACTTTGTGGAAGCACCTTTGGCAGCGATTACAGCATCGAGTCTTCTTGGGTATGACGCTACAAGCTTGTCACGCCTGTATTTGGGGAGTTTGTCCCATTCTTCTCTGCAGATCCTCTCAAGCTCTGTCAGGTTGGTGGGGAGCGTCACTGCATAGCTATTTTCAGGTCTCTCCAGAGATGTTAGATCGGGTTCAATTCCGGGCTCTGGCTGGGCCACTCAAGGACATTCAGAGACGTGTCCCGAAGCCACTCCTGCGTTGTCTTGGCTGTGTGCGTCGGGTCGTTGTCCTGTTGGAAGGTGAACCTTCACCCCAGTCTGAGGTCCTGAGCGTTCTGGAGCAGGTTTTCATCAAGGATCTCTCTGTACTTTGCTCTGTTCTTTTTTCCCCTCTATCCTGACTAGTCTCCCAGTACCTGCCACTGAAAAACATCCCCACAGCATGATGCTGCCACCACCATGCTTCACCGTAGGGATGGTGCCATGTTTCCTCCAGACGTGACGCTTGGCATTCAGGCCAAAGAGTTCAATCTTGGTTTCATCAGACCAGAGCATTTTGTTTCTCACGGTCGGAGTCCTTTAGCTGCCTTTTGGCAAACTCCAAGTGGGCTGTCATGTGACTTTTACTGAAGAGTGGCTTCCATCTGGCCACTTTACCATAAAGGCCTGATTGGTTGTCCTTCTGGAAGGTTCTCCAATCCCCACAGAGGAACTCTGGAGCTCTGTCAGTGTGACCTCCCTGACCAAGGCCCTTCTCCTCCGATTGCTCAGTTTGGCCAGCTCTAGGAAGAGTCTTGGTGGTTCCAAACTTCTTCAATTTAAGAATGATAAAGGCCACTGTGTTCTTGGGGACCTTCAATGCTGCAGACATTTTTTGGTACCCTTCTCCAGATATGTGCCTTGACACAAAGGTCCTGTCTCAGAGCTCTGCGGACAATTCCTTCGACCTCATGGCTTGGTTTTTGCTCTGATATGCACTGTCAACTGTGGGACCTTATATAGACAGGTGTGTGCCTTTCCAAATCATATCCAAATCAATTGATTTTACCACAGTTGGACTTAAATCAAGTTGTAGAAACATCTCAAGGATGATCAATGGAAACAGGACGCACATGAGCTCAATTTTGAGTCTCATAGCAAAGGGTCTGAATACTTATGTAAACAAGGTATTTCAGTTTATTTTTAATACATTTGCAAAAAATTATAACCTGTTTTCGCTTTGTCATTATGGGTTATTGTGTGTAGATTAACACAATTAATTCAATTAATTTTAGAATAAGGCTGTAACATCAAATGTGGAAAAGGGGAAGGGGTATGAATACTTTCCGAACGCACTGTACATATCGCAATTCCCTATTAATCTTGTATCGAATACAACCGACTTTTTCTTCATTTGTGTTGCTCAACTAACTCAGCACGAATGTGCATGTGCCAATTGAATCGGTTTACATAGTACGAGCAACACAAATGAGGAAAACGTCGGTGGCTGTATTCGGGACAAGCAAAATTGAAAACAAAGAACACAAAAATGTCTGCAGTGTCTTGCTAACTAGTTCGATACTTTGCTAGACTTCTTGCCATATACTGACAATAATAAGCAAACTAACTCTGGCTGGTAAATTAGCTAGCTAAATTAGTAACTACAGCTGATTGTTAACCCAGGTCGGGTTTGTCTGCAGTCGAAAACAATTCCGTCCTCATCTCATTAAGACGTTAGCCTGCCCTAGAGACTTGCTAACGTTAGGTGATTGAAAACAAGGACAAGCGAAGTCATTTATGTCCTAGATGTAAATATTAACTAGCTTACCTGGGTAATGAAATGTCAATAATTAAGTTAGTCAGACGAATTACCTTTCAAAAGTAACACGACTTTCGCACAAGTGGCTAAAAACTAACGTTACGTTAGCTGGCTAGCTAGCATGAAGCTCTAAGCTAGTCAGAGAACGCATCTGACCGGATCGATCGGTTTACATTAACGAAACTTCCAATATTTTACTAAGGCAAAGCAGTACCTGAAATACGAAGTGCTGCGGATGTCGACGACCTTCCTTTCTCTCCACAAATGTAGTAATAATCGATACCTTCTGTGCGCGCGGTCTCCTAACCAGCGCTAGCTCCCGACATTCGAAACAACGACCGTGACGTCATTCTAAGCGTAATTTTTCTCACACGCGTGTCCCTATTTCACATTAGCCAAATACAATAACATTATGGAAATAAGCATGATATAAATATATTCCAAAATGTCTGCTAATGAGTCTTGTGACATTGAACATTACTGTCAATATCAGCTATGACAACAACAGGGTTATAATAAGTTACAGGTTCTTGGAAAACATGTTTTGAGTTATTGGAATAATAAAAAATGACAGCAAAGTACAACATAATTAATTCTAAATATTCACTAGGCAGTATGAACTATGAGTGAAAGATGCAGGTAAATTAAATCCTGTATAACATAAAAAAATGGATTAGCTAAAATAATGGAATGGAAGCCCAGGGCCAGAGCCAACATTACTTTATTTAGCCTACTGTAAGGACAGGAACAACAGCAAGACCCTGCTGGAGCTTACACATACAGCAGAGAGGACAGACAACTGTCACACACCAATTTGTCATGACCCCTTTTTGTAAATTTGAGAGGATTAAAGATCAGTCGCATGTGCAGTTTATACTGCATTTCATACAGTTAGAAAAACTAAATTAGTGTTTGTTTTAAATAGTTTCTCAACATTCACCGATTGGAGTGTGTGCTAGACCCCAAATATGGCCGTTTTAGTAGTCATCCCCTTCTGGAGAATCTACAATGCAGTATTGTGATTTCCATATGTTATCATCAGCATAGCTTATGGACGCACAAGTGTGGGCAGTAAGTGCATAGAAAACACATAATTTACTGCACTGTACAAAAAGATGCAGGCATGTCAGCCACACGTTAATCTAAGGCCTCAGTGATTGAAAGCAGATGAAAAGCACAAGCCTTTTTGGAGTAATCTACTCCAACATCTCGGTCCTGCTCTTTCCTCACACACTAACCCTAGTTCTGAGGGCCCCCCTTATTCGCAGCCAACCCGCCCTCCCCCTTCTCTGTGATCTGGGGTGCAAAGGGTCCCACCAGCCAGTTGAAAGGAGTGTTATTGAGCAGATACTCCATGACACCATCCAGAGACTGTCGCACCTGTGAACGTTTAAATGTGTCAATCAACACAAATAACCTCAGAGTGATTCATAATTATCTGTTATGATGATGTACATACAATGTGTTGGTTGAAATATTGAAACTGAATAAATAATGAGAAACCAGCAGCTGGTGTATTCATAATGAATTGACACAGGAAAAATTGAGCAACAGAGTTTTGTATACCTGCGTTAGATGGTGACGGGTCTGCTCCAGGAGGGGGGGTGTGAGGGTGCTAGTGTTGCCCAGGGAGGAGTGCAGTTCTTCAGCCGCTTTCCGTGCGTTTGCCAGCTGGTCCTGGACAGCACCGGGTAAGCCCTGGGCGCTGGACACCACCCCAGAGCACGCAGACCGCAACTGGTCACTGAGACCACGTACCATCAAGAGGGTTCGCCACTCCAACTGCTACACAAACATAGGCAATTACGGTTAGCTGTGGAAACTATAAAACAGTGTTTATAAAGTTCCAAGTACATTCAATCACATGGCTGCTTGGACAGAAAATACTAATTCAAGACTCCCTACCTCAGTCTGGTCTTTGGGAACATCCACCTCCCCCGTCTCTACCACTCCATCTTTAGGCTGTTTCTCCTGCCACTCCTTCCAGCGCTGCAGCAGCTGCTCTGGTGCCCCTCCCAGCTGGTGGTTTGCAGTGGCCAGGGTGGAGCGGGCTTTCTCCAGCAGGTCCAGGGTGCTGGTGATCTGTGTCATGGTGGCGTATGTGGTGTCTCTGGCGTGCCGGGCTCTCACCAGGGACTGCTCCAGGGCCCGCTCCTGCACCTTGGAGGACAGCTTGCCCAGACGGACAAAGTAGCTAGAGCCCACCACTGGTGCAGTAGCCACCTCACCTGTTGCAGGCTCTGCCAAAGCAGCTGTATGGGGGAAAAAATTAAGATGATCTATAAACAATAATTCACGGTCGGTCTGAGATCAGAGCTATTGATTTTAGTGTCGCCCTGTCTACATATCCATAGCTACACATAAATGAACCATCTTGCAGCTCTAGACCTGACTCAGCAGCAACCACACCAGGGATGGGTTCAATTCCATTTCAGTACAGTCCATTCAGGGTTTACTAGTTTCTCATTCATACTGACCCAGCTCTCTGTCGCTGAGAGGCAGGTTATGGTCCACCCAGTTCTCAGAGTGGCTGAGGGCCAGGCCCACCCCACTGCTGACCATCTGGCCCACACCGGTCACCATGAATGAGCTGAACAATCCACTGGCTGCTGCTTGGGTCATCTCCACACCCCCAAACACTGCCGACATTACAGCCCCAGTCATGGTTTCCTTGGCCCCGGTTACAGCCCCAGCTATGGTCTCCTTGGCCCCAGCCATGGCCTCCTTTGCCCCGCTCACAGACTGGTGCATCATGCCTATTGTATCTGAAACTAGCTGAGGGCGAGACAATATACAGCTCATTAAAAAGCTGTTATGAATATATAAGGTCTTATATCAAGTAAAGTGTTTTCTTGGGGACTTTAGTTGAATTGGATGCATGAGGAAGCATTGTTGACTAGTCAACACTAGATTTGGAGACTCACCTTATCAGCTGGCTGCTGGAGGAATTGCAGTTTTTCCACCTTGTCCAGTCCCATCATGGCATAATGATTCACCACAGAAACTGCAACAAATAATTAATTAACTCCTAACAAAAAAAGTTATCCACTAATATATATATATTGTTTTTTTGTGATGTCCGTCTGTGGTCACTATGCAGCAGAACGCACTCTGTGGCTCCAGTCTGTCAAGGAGTGGCTTGGAGCCAGTTGTGGCGGCTACCCCAAGGGTGCGCACCCCGCTCTCGGCAGCCTCCATGACCCCCTTCAGCAGGGGCACGCTGTCCTTAGTGCTGCTGTAGGCGTTGGACACTACACCACACGCAGAGCTCACCAGGGGGATGCTGCCCACGCGGGACACAACACTCTGGGAACAAAACACAATGGTTATGATTTAGCCTGAGTTAGAAGTGGGGAAACAGCCTTTGTGTTGCCATTTTCAACAATTGCATGTTGCATATTTTGTTTGCTTTGTACTGATCACTCAACTCTGTACCTGGTGAGTTTTTGTGTGTACATGCGCATATTATACTTGAGGAGTGCTTACATATTTCCAATTTATCAACTCTGAGTGAAATATTGAATGCTGGTTTCAATGTTATTAGTGTATCAGACCCGTCATCAGAGCTGTGTTGTAGGGTAAACTAATGTCATAGTGATTGTGCTCCTCACCTGCTGGTCTCCATTAGTTGGCTGGGCTGTGGTTGCACTGGGCTCATCAGTCTTCCCGCTGTCAGCCATTGTGCAGGATGTGTCAAATTTCTGACATGAAAAAGAGACAGAAGGAGATTCACCTCAAATTACTTGGTTTATGAGACAGAATTTTTACTTGCTTCATAAGACAGACATTCATTATGCAGCTGAACAGCAGTGAGGGGATTTATTGTGGTGTCCCTCAATCTATCCATTAGTAGACAACCCAGGCATGTCTGTTTCATTTGTCAAGCAACAGGATACAGCCAGGATGGAACTGGATAGGGCTGAATTATAGAATGATTCACGTCACTGGACAGAAGTTGGTTTGAACAAGGATGATTGAAGTCTTACTTTACCTTAATTGGAAACAGCATGTCTCCCACAGCCAAAATATTAATATCATTATGGAGGCAGATACAGTAATTGCTAATATTACAAACAGTAGAGCTAGGAGCTCCTCTACTACATGTTTGTCTGGGCCCTGGCTCTGTTCACTGCTGACCAAAGTTACTCATGTAGGCCATCAATTTGATGTTTGTCTTTATAATGATGTGACATTTTGATCATGTGATTTTTCAGTACCTTAAAAAACAAAACATGCTTGGCAAAATTTTACAATTTTATCATGTAGATTCTGAAAAATGTTAGCAAAAATTGAAATTGAATATGAAAATCCTGCAGAACTTTTTTCATAATGTCATGGTGATTCTGAATGTGATCGTTATTCAAATTTAAAATTGGATGACATCACAATTGAACGTTTGGGCCAAGAATGCGGCAAAGTTTATTATGAACTCACATGAAACCAAACTTGCTGCTACACAGACTACCGATTTTCTATATTCAGGGAGTTGATCAGTCTGTACCATTGATGGAACAGGGAGATCCTCCTGCAAGACCATCTACTTTCATCCATAATGCTAGCGTTGCGCGTGGTGATCTTAGGCTTGTGTGTGGCTGCTTGACCATGGAAACCCATTTCATGAAGCTCCCAACGAACAGTTATTGTGCTGATGTTGCTTCGAGAGGCAGTTTGGAACTCGGTAGTGAGTGTTGCAACTGAGGGCAGACGATTTTTACTCACTATGCGTTTCAGCACTCGGCGGTCCCATTCTGTGAGCTTGTGTGTCCTACCACTAGATAATAAACAGCGAGTAGGTGCAGTGTAAAAACAATGGGGGGGGGTGTGTCAATGCAAATAGTCCGGGTGGCCATTTGATTAATTGTTCAGGAGTCTTATGGCTTGGGGGTAGAAGCTGTTAAGGAACCTTTTGGACCTAGACTTGGCGCTCTGGTACCGCTTGCCGTGTGGTAGCAGAGAGAACAGCCTATGACTTGGGTTACTGGAGTCTTTGACAATTTTTTTGGGCCTTCCTCTGACACCGCCTAGTATATAGGTCTGGATGGCAGGAAGCTTGGCCCCAGTGATGTACTGGGCCGTAAGCACTACCCTCTGTAGCGCCTTACGGTCGGATGCGGAGCAGTTGCCATACCAGGCGGTGATGCAACCGGTCAGGATGTTCTCGCTGGTGCAGCTGTATAACTTTTTGAGGATCTGGGGACCCATGCCAAATATTTTCAGTCTCCTGAGGGGGAAAGACATTGTTGTGCCCTCTTTACGACTGTCTTGGTGTGTTTGGACCATGATAGTTTGTTGGTGATGTGGACACCAAGGAACTTGAAACTCTCGACCCGCTCCACTGCAGCCCCGTCGATGTGAATGGGGGCTTGTTCTGCCCTCCTTTTCCTGTAGTCCACGATCATCTCCTTTGTCTTGCTCACGTTGAGGGAAAGGTTGTTGTTCTGGCACCACACTGCCAGGTCTCTGACCTTCTCCATATAGGTTGTCTCATCGTTGTCGGTGATCAGGCCTACAACCGTTGTGTCGTCAGCAAACTTAATGGATGGTGTTGGAGTCGTGCTTGGCCATGCAGTCGTGGGTGAACAGGGAGTACAGGAGGGGACTAAGCACGCAACCCTGAGTGGCCCCCTAGTTGAGGATAAGAGTGGCTGAAGTCCAGGATCCAGTTGCAGAGGGAGGTGTTTAGTCCCAGGGTCCTTAGCTTAGTGATGAGCTTTGTGGGCACTATGGTGTTGAATGCTGAGCTGTAGTCAATGAACAGCATTCTCACGTAGGTGTTCCTTTTGTCCAGGTGGAAAAGGGCAGTGTGGAGTGCGATTGCGTCATCTGTGGATCTGTTGTGGCGGTATGCGAATTGGAGTGTTGATGTGACCCATGACCAGCCTTTCAAAGCACTTCATGGCTACCGACGTGAGTGCTATGGGGCGGTAGTCATTTAGGCAGGTTACCTTCGCTTTCTTGGGCACAGGGACTATGGTGGTCTGCTTGAAACATGTAGGTATTACAGACTCGGTCAGGGAGAGGTTGAAAATGTCAGTGAAGACACTTGCCAGTTGGTCCGTGCATGCTCTGAATACACGTCCTGGTAATCCATCTGGCCCTGTGGTCTTGTGAATGTTGACCTGTTTAAAAGGTCTTGCTCACATCGGCTACGGAGAGTGTGATCACACAGTTGTCCGGAACAGCTGATGCTCTCATGCATGCTTCAGTGTTGCTTGCCTTGAAGTGAGCATAAAAAGGTATTTAGCCCTCTGGTAGGCTCGCGTCACTGGGCAGCTCGCGGCTGGGTTTCCCTTTTTAGTCCGAAATAGTTTGCAAGCCCTGCCACATCCGACGAGCATCAGAGCCGGTGTAGTAGGATTCAATCTTAGTCCTGTATTGACGCTTTGCCTGTTTGATGGTTTGTCTGAGGGCATTTCGGAATTTCTTATAAGTGTCCGGATTAGTGTCCCGCTTCTTGAAAGCGGCAGCTCTAGCCTTTAGCTCGGTGCAGATGTTGCCTGTAATCCATGGCTTCTGGTTGGGATATGTATGTACGGTCACTGTGGGGACGACGTCGTCAATGCACTTATTGATGAAGCCGGTGACTGAGGTGGTATACTCCTCAATGCCATTGGATGAATCCCGGAACATATTCCAGTCTGTGCTAGCAAAACAGTCCTGTAGCGTAGCATCCGCGTCATCTGACCACTTCTGTGTTGAGCGAGTCACTGGTACTTCCTGCTTTAGTTTTTGCTTGTAAGCAGGAATCAGGAGGATATAATTATGGTCAGATTTGCCAAATGGAGGGCGAGGGAGAGCTTTGTACGCATCTCTGTGTGTGGAGTAAAGGTGGTCTAGAGTTTTTTCCCCCTCTGGTTGCACATGTGACATGCTGGTAGAAATGAGGTAAAACGGATTTAAGTTTGCCTGCATTAAAGTCCCCGGCCACTAGGAGTGCCAGTGATTGCACGTTGGCCAATAGAACGGATAGTAGAGGCGGGTTACCCACTCGCCGACTAATTCTCACAAGGCACCCTGATCTGCGCCCCCGGTATCTCCTTCATGCGAATGACAGGGATTTGGGCCTTGTCCGGGAGCAACATTATATCCTTCGCGTTAGACTCATTAAAGAAAAAATCTTCATCCAGTTTGAGGTGAATTATCGCTGTTCTGATATCCTGAAGCGCTTTTCGGTCATAAGAGACAGTAGCATCAGCATTATGTACAAAATAAGTTACAAACAATGCGAAAAAATATAGCACAATTGGTTAGGAGCCCGTAAAACGGCAGCCATCCCCTCCGGCGCAATTGTGCATACAATTGCCATAGAGACAGTGAAAAACAGTATTCTGATGTCACCAAAAGCTTAGATCTTCAAAGCAGAAACATCACGAAGCAATTTGAAATCCCTACTGTCTAGATAAGTGTTTTTTATTTTATTGCAACAGCAATATGAATGTGTCATTTTCAGGTCAAACCGATACTGTGGTAGCAACCAGCCCTGTGGCTCTGGTGCCTGGCCCTGTTCACCAGGCCTCACTGGTGGATCCCCTGACCTACGTGGGCACAGTCAAGCTGCCGCCCACCTCAGAGCAGGCCCCAAAGGTAAAGGTGGAGGAGACCGATCCAGACACCCATATCCGATACGTGGGCCCCATGAAGGATCTTCCAGATGCCAACTCTCTCATCAGCTGTCTGAGCTCTCTAAAGGGTCTGAAGGTCCAGCCGGATGAGACTGACACTGACCTAACTGGGAACCGTAAACCTCCCTCAGGCTCCTGACCAGGCCTCATCTCCACAGCAGCCCAAGAACACCCCTCTGCTAAGGCTGTTTCTGACGTAGGGGAAAGAAGCAGTTGTACACCCCAGCTCATGAGCTCAGCAGGCCCCTCTCCTGGGCTTATGGTCCATGGCAGGAACCTGCATTCAGTCACCCAGGGTGCTACAGCCAGGAGGAGTACTGGCAAAGGTGCATGCAGTACTACCAGCGGCTCTCTGACCAGGAGAGGTGGAACCAGGTCTGCTACTACATGGACATGATGCCCAGAGCAGAGTTTCCCCACTAGGGAGTTCTACATGTGCATACTGATGCAGCTGCGTAAGAGAAAGGCCCAGCCTGGACCTGGCCATGCTGAGGACAGCATAGCGGAGCCTCCTACCAGCAGGCAGCGTGTGAACACCACTTTAAATTATATCAAACTCAACCATTTATCTTTTCTGAACACTTCTACAAGGTGCAAATATGTATGGGAGGTTTCGTTCAAATCAAAAGGGATGCTGTCAAAAAGTGTTTGAATTCAAATGGATTTACCCCTCTGTGTGTGTGACCCCTGAAGCCAGTAGAGCAGGCCTAGATGGTAGTAGGTTGGTATGCAAGCACTGACTGACTGTATGAAGAAAGACTTGGGTCATAGCCATAAAATGAATGGTCCCAGCAGCCTACAGAATTCCATGTCCAGTCCTAGACAAATCATTTACAGTTATGACAGGTGAATGTATGAAAAATACCATTTTACAAAGAAGCAAAGCATAAGAGGACTGTACCCAAATGACAATTTGAAAATTAGCTGTCTTTAAAATTGTTTTGAAAAATTGGCCCATAGTTCTGCTGAACTTTACCCCATAAAAGGGATTTTCAGAGTACTGTATAATTAATAGCTTCTCTGGTAGAGAACGTGAACACTAGCCTACTGTAGTTTGATTAACTTCGAACTAAATAGACATACATCTAAACAGGCACTTAGGCAGACATCTAAAATAACAGAAGAGTTTGTTAGCAAGCAAGCCTGGCCAAAGACGAAACTAGCAGGTTACAAGTTGTTATCCTAATGTTAGCGCATGTTAACAGCTCTGCAATGTAGGGAGAGAGGAAACATTACTACAACTTTCATGCTTTGCAAAATATTAGTTTCCCGACAGGTTGTCAATTTAGTCACTGACCTCACTGATAGTATGCTCACAGGTAAAAAATATTTGGTATGCTCCTGTCCTCCGTTGACCTGGCAGCGAAGTTTAGCCCAGCTAGCCGTGTCCCGACCAAGCCCTGATAGCACAGTTGGCAATACATAGGCTGAGCAAAGGCGGGGTTGTCAAATTGTTCCTGAAAGTTAACCAATCACTGTAAACTGAAACGAAACTAGCTATACGCAACAGTAGCCAATGAATGTTGTTACATGAAACCATGTAGCCTAACAATTATGATATCAATAGTTGTGCCTGTATGATGATATTATATATTTAGGAATATCCAGAGTTATCTATAATGTTTGTTAATTTATATTAATGTTAGTGTTGTGTTCATGTCATAATTGAGGATGAGACTTTATTAGCCTATTCCAGTAATCACTTTGATTATAAATAGAGGGGGAACACAACCTCACATTGCATCATCAGGTGTTGAAAAATGTCACACAAATGGGAGTTTAACTGATTTCACAATGCCTGATTTCATAAAGCCTGGTAAAATCACAGAAACATCTGTTGTGATTATTAGGCTTACCCTTCAATGTAAACAGGTGCCTCACATTTTCAATTAAATCTGGTTTAAGGGTCAATAAATGATTTAGACCTGGCAATATTTAATCATGTAAATCTTTAAGGCCCATAAACTGTTACCCTACAACGTTAACAATAGTTGCAGTTGTGGTTCTTACCTGAATTCACGTGGTATGGTTTTTAGTTCTATGCAAAGTAGCTGTATATATCGTTTATGTTTTATAGCCTACCTGCAATAAATAGGAACATCGGCCAACCAAAGATTTAGGCCTATGTCTTGAAAGCAATTGCCTATGGGGATGGTTTATTTTGCGCCTGCTACATTTAGGTTAATGTGGACGCTTCATGAGCTGCTTTCAACCTGCACCAATGGCGGGAATTGGCAATGCAGGTAGGCTTAGTGCCGTGTTCATGTACTAGTCCGAACTACGAAACTCGGACTTCCTGAATCGTTGAACCGACACGTGTATAACTACAACCACTAAATAAATCGCACATTTCCGAGTTCCCTAGTTCTGACTAGGAAATGTAATCTTAGTAATTAAGTAAATAATTTCAGTATTTGTTTTTTATGACCGTGTTTTTCTTTCTCTTGCATTTTGTATTTATATTTTGATGTGTGTATTTTCTGTAATGTATGTAATTCAGTACTCATCTGTAAAATAAATATTGGTCTCAGTATGACTCCCTGATAAAAATAAAGGTTAAATAAAATAAAAATAAATGCAATCTCTCGTGGAAAGTCTGACGTAGTAGACAACGTTTCGTATCTCTTACCTCTTCCCTAGAACCTAATCGAGTAGCTAACGTGATATTTTGGTTCTGGGTTGCCGTGATTAAAACGCAAGTAATAATTACTACAGCAACAAGAGTGGCTTTGTATTTCTGTGTCACGCAGTGTAATTGCAATGGGTAGCTACACCTCAAGAGGGCAGTCTTTACCCACAAAGAGAGGCCAATGTGCTGCAGCCTCACCCACTCACTGTACGTGGCTGAACCTCTGCAAGGTCTTTCAAGTCTGCTTGGCACCCATGTTGAAGACTCGTTGAGAGGATCCTTTTAAACAAATTATAACGACAAGTTTATTTTTATTTTTTACATTTTAGAACAGAGAATACATCCACTATGAAAGAGAAGGGCATGCAGACGCATTTATAAATGCAAGTGTGAGGCTTACATAAAATGTATGGGGATACATATCTAGGCTATTTCTATGAAAGAAATCTAGTTAGGATTGTCCATAGGAAGGTAAAACGGATATTCATGATTCCCTGACATGTGGAGTTCATATGATATAAGTTCTTCACATTGCTTTAAACGCTAGAACAACGCGTATCTCTGTTTGGCTGGCAGTGGCGTGTATCCATGGATGCCAAGGGAAGCCAGGTTTCCCAAAAAAATTTACCAAGAGAAAAACATAAAATAATTTTCTGTGTTTTCATAATTTTCCTTCAATTCGCAAGAGGCTGAATGTAATTTACAAGAGCGAAACAGCGCCCCTCTTTCTCTGTATGTGTATGCCATCTATCTGATGCTGTCTGGTCAGAAAGAGCCAGTTTGGATATGGCTTTACTCCTATCACATCGCATCAAGAGAAATACATAATTGACAGAAACAACTTGAATGGTTGCATCTCGTTGTGCTGTTGTCCTCCGGTGGCTAGCTAGCTAGCTAGCTAAAATTGGCCATTTCCTAAATTAGCCATGGATGGAGATAGGGATTTGGACTTGTGGTTTTACTTAATTCTACGTACTGGCCAATGATTATAAAGGCGATTCTGATCCAACCATAAATTCATACATTGTGTCCCTGGACTGAGAAGATGGAAGTTCAATATGTAGCTAGATGTAGAAGGCTAATGTTAACTAGCTAACGTTGCCCATGAAAGGAAGTTAGGCTAGCGAGCAAGCATTTTAGCCAGGTATCCTAGGACAACAAAAACTAAAAGCATGTACTGTATGACAGTCATAGACCGTTTCCTCAACATTAAAGAGAGGAGGTTGGCATTGACATTTTTCTACAAGTAGGGTGAGTCAACATGTTTTTCTACGTGCACAAACACACGCCCGCACACACACACACACACACACACACACACACACACAAATCGGAACCATGGACAGCCAAATCATATTTAGCTTACATTGATTGGACTAAATAGTTTTTGCTATATTTTAGTTGTCACTGTATTAGACTAAGCATAGGTGATTTGATGATGTTGAAATGTTGAAGTTGAAATGGTGCTGGAATAGTGGAGGCACCTCCTGTTTTCTTTGCAACTTGCGGTAACTCGCCGTGGTTCTAAATCAATAGTTGTTTAGGAGTCTGAAAATGTCGGAAACATTAACTTACTTGACCATGCTGTAGGTCATGTAACTGTTTGTTACATGCAATATGCTTTGTGGACTTCACTGGACAGAGGTTGCTCTCCAGTTTTGTGATGAAACAAAGGTGTGGTTGAATTTATTCTGCCACTGTGTCTTCTTATTGTCTCGGCCTTAGGCCTATATATCACGGACGCAAGGCATATGAACTCTTCAGCTTATAGAGCAAACAATGCAATTATCACAACACATAGATTGTAATATGTTTGTTTTTTCTGGCTTGATTTCCTCAGTGATTTGACCCATGCACCGCTACTGGTGGCTGGCATTATGTTATCCCAGCTTGCCAGACACAATCATTTCTATTAGCATTATTTGTTATGCAGGATTCCATTTCCACAAAAACTCCCCCATTTCATTAGGAGATTTTAATCACGATAGAATATGACCCATTAGAATTTTCATTATCTGCCCTTTTATATTTTCACAGCTATTAGGCCAACATGCTGAGAGAGATTACTTTAATATTGCTATCAGAGATACTCTGAATGGCTTCCGCAGTTACATTTTGGTTCATGTTTGAAGTTAAATTAATTCTGTGGTTACATTTATAATCACCAACCCTTCTGAAAGTAAACATATTCACACAGCATGCAGACATATTAACGAATGAGAGAGTGAACACAAGTCTGGTAGATGGAGAACAGTGGGGTGTCTGTGTTCCTCCTCCTCTCTCATATATATCTTATTATTAGTTTGTGTGTTTTTGGAGAGTGTGAGGATTGAATGTTCCCCAGTGTCCCCCTACTTCCTCCTCCTTCAATTTCCCCAGACTGTGTTTACCAGCATGTGCCCTGGAGGTCCGTAGTGTCATCTGTTTCTGCTTAACTCTGACTCTGCTCCACTGGATTAATTGATTGTGGCCCAAATTGTTCTGGATATTGAGTAATTTAAGATTAGGAGATAACAAGAAAATTACTGATCCCTTAGGAAAAATATAACTTTCCCTGTGCCTGAGGACATACCGTTCTAGATGAGGAGACTAAATTAGCAACAAAGCCAGGTTGCCAGGGTTGTATGGTGCAGCAGCTGTTAGTTTTATCACCAAGATTGTGTATTACCTTAGCATTACTGAAAATGTCTGGGTTAAATTAACCAACCCCAGGGTTTAACAAATCAGATCAGGATTCTTTTTTTTACCCAAACCCAATAAACTGACTAGTAATGAGGACACGTCCACCATAAAGGTTTCAAGGAAGCCCAAACAGGTAGAATTTATTAACTGTGCATTGGAAGATTAATTGGTCCAATATTAGGCTATCCATAAAGGGAGGCTTTGTGAGATAATTTCAGTGTGATCACTCTGCAAAGCAAAAATGCAGTACAATTATAAAGTAATGATTCATGTTTACATAAGAAACAGATGGTACAGGTGTGTTACACGAAGAACATAAAAAAAAATGTTTTTTTCAAATTCTTCCCCACACTTGCATTTGATTTTTTTTTGCAAATGCAACACTTCAATGTTGTTTCTAAGGTCAAAGGAGCTGCATCTTAAATCTGTTTGAATTATTTACCATCTGGCCATTTTATGCCCATTTCAAGTCTGTTTAAGTAAGATCGACCCTCTACACCATCAGCAGAAATCCTATTTTCAATGCACTGCAACATATTTCGGGCGTCCTGGCTGCAACATCAGGTTTCAGTAACATGGAACATACCATTATAAATCATCTCAAGGTTGAAACTTGATATGAACTTTTGTCCTGGCAATATATGGTGTAATAACATATTAATAAAGCGTAACCTTGGCTGAGCTGATGTAGGTCTCAGACATGAACAGGAACATAGCTTATGTGGAAGTGATATAGAGAGCGGAGGTTGACCATGCATTAGAGGCGGTCAAGTCAACCACACGCATACTGTACTGTTAGTATACTGTGGCCCTGCCTGCCTCCATCTACCCTTATCCTCTAAGAGAGTACCAGGTCATTTTCCTTTTAGCAGCAGTTCCTTTTTATACCTCCTGTTCTAATGAATAAATAAACATATTGATTAATTCTCACCAATGATTAAACATGTTTTTGGTTTAATGATGTGGCTTATCAATGCATAATGAAAACTGAAACAACTTTGAGGTTAGTGTGTCCAATACTCTCTTGCTCTTTCTAAAGGCTATTTTTCCTATTCTACTTTTGTACAATGTGTTCACATTAAAAATCATGTCTTAGAAATA